TGTACATTTCGCCGCAGTAGGTGGGCGGGAACCGCAGTATTAGCCTCAGCAGGTGTGTCACCCCGCCCCACTTCCCCCGTCGTCCTCCCCTCCCCGCCTTGGCAGAGTTTATGTTGAAACGGCGGTATGCAAACGCTGCAGCCAGTATCAATTGAGCTTGATGCCGGTTTGTGGGCTAGCCGCCCACGGACCCACTTACTAGCCGAGTCGTTGCCAATTTTCTGACGGTAGGCCTCCTCCTGCTCTGCAGTGGGCGTGATCAGGACAGTGCGGTACTGGAACAGAGACCGCACAGTCACTTGACAGCCGGCGCCAGCTTGACCGACACCACGACCTGCTACGGGGCGGCCTGGCCCGGGGCTACAGCGAGGCGACGCGTCTGGCTGGCATCAGTCGTCCTGCACAAGACTCGGCCCAGCAGGCCGGCACACAGCGCTCCCGAGCCTGACTGCACTAAACAACAGCAAGCGGCCATCGTATTTCTTTGCACTATGTATAACGAGCAACTACATTGAAATGTGATCACAACAGGAGATTCAAAAGCATGTCTGCTGCTAGAAGGTGATCCAAATGGCTCCCGTCGTGGGGCGATCCTCCGCTGTCCAGCGTCGCTTCACAACCGAATCACTGCTGCCGCGCCCAGTGACGGAGCTGCCCCGCGACACCCACCCTGTCTGCTAACGCTCCCCATAGGCAGCCGATGTAAATCTTGAATGAACTACACCCAGCAAGTTGGTGCCATGAAATGTGTTAGGCTGCCGTGGCGCGCCAGTCTTGGGGGCCATCGCCAAACACACGACCAGTCGGGAGATCTCCCGGGGAGCAAACAGATGCCCCTTTCCTCCCCCCCCCCCCTGCTTCCACCAGTAGGCGCCCGCGGCGATCATCAGAGGTCAGTCAACTGGAACGCCTGCCAATGCTGTGTCGGCCCGTTTGTTCCCTCCAACGCGACGGCGCAGGCCGAGCCAGTCGGATGAGCGGCGCTGGCGTCTACGGCGGCAACACCCGCGTCTCCCGCCAATTGCTCCGATGAAAATAGATTGCCAGCCACTCGAGGAGATGATGGCGACCTTGGAGATGCGTCCAGCTGCTGTTTGTCGGGTGCCCCGCTGTCTGCTGGCGCGTGCCTCGCACTCGGCGCTGGCACGGCCGCCCAGCAGACATCGACGGGGCTGAACGGCGGCCATGTTTGTTTACCTGTCCCCCGTGCCGTTGCCGCGACCAGCAGCACTGATATCGCCACACCAATAAATAGAGCTTCGCATCTCTTTTGGAAGATCAGAGTCAGCGAGTGAATGCGCATGCTCAGTGCTGTCAAAACCACCCGTGCAAGTGACGGCACTGGATACCGATGACAAATAATGCGAAAATGAAGCGCTGGAGCTTGTAACGAACGTACGGTTACACAGGCAGGATAACTATGCAGTTAACTTCTACCGAACTAGTTAACGATGACAAATAATGCGAAAGTGAAGCACCGCAGCTTGTAACGAATGTACGGTTAAACAGGCACGATAACTATGCAGTCAACTTCTATGTGCAGCTTACCATCACGCGACCGGTATCTATAACCGAATCGTAATAGCTATGGAGGGCCCCATACGCCACGCTCGTCATAAACAGCGTGCAACCGACTGGATCGGGTGGAGATGCTTGGTCTTGGTTGGTCGGCCCGGTCGGGTGAGGATGCTTGGTCCTGGCCTTGGTCTTGCTCGGGTGGGGTCGGGTCGGGCGGTATGCTTGGTCCTGGTTTTGGTGATGCTCCGGTGAGGTCGAGCTTGGTCCTGGCCTTGGTTTTGCTCGGGTGGGGTGGGGCCGGGTGGTACGCTTGGTCTGGGCCTTGGTCCTGCTCGGGTGGGGTGGGGTCGGGTGGTACGCTTGGTCCTGGCCTTGGTCCTGCTCGGGTGGGGTGGGGTCGGGTGGTACGCTTGGTCCTGGCCTTGGTCTTGCTCGGGTGAGGTCGGGTCGCGTGGGGGTGCTATCTTGGACTAAGGCTTGCTTGGGTTGGGCCGGGTCGGGTCGGATGGCGGGGAAATCACGGCTTCGGATACGGATATTTCCAGGCACCGGTCCAAGATGGCTGAGTGAGCCCCTCGCGCGCGCGCGGCGCGTTGGCGGCTTCGACGGTCGGCGGCCGGGCCGTGCAGTGGCGACCGTGCGCTTGGACTCGGCGGTGGGGTCGAGCCTACTTCACGAAATCTATGAAAAAACACTTCAGGAGGCAACAAAACATGTACCTTGCAACAGTTCAATGTCATGCGATGCATCGTGATTTCTTTTAAGGAATTAAAAAAAGGAGAAGCGGGGTAATCGGATGAGTGGCAGATATATATTCAAAACATATTTTGAACAAGTATTATAGGCAGACATGGCCAATGCCGCCGGCTGTTGGGTGTTGACGGTGACTGAGAGATCCTCTGAGGAGTTAGAGAGGAGCAAAGGCGATTCTTACGCTTTGTTTTGCAAAGGTGGAGGGCAGCAGCAGTTTTGCCCTCCAACATAAGCCGAGCTGCCAGCGGATAAATTGAATCAAAAAGCTCCAGCTCGCAAAGGCCTTTATGAGCAAGTGATAGCATGAGCAGATACCAAGACGAAAACCCATTCTTTGAATTTTCAAGCAGTGCTTTAGCCAGACTTTCAGGGTTGCATCAGCAACCTGCCTTTTTCCAATCGGGACACGTCACTGTTCCGATTCTCCTCTGGCGTTTTTCTACTGTACCCTCGCGGTTTCACTGCACCCTTGCTACATGAGAGGATGGCCCCTCTGCTGCTCCACTCTTTCCACTTATTTCGAAAAATTTAATCAAATGCTTCGCATGGTTGGTTTGAATTTGAAACTTTTGCTAAGCAAAACCTGCTGCGTGTGCCCCTAGCTCATCACGTAAGATAGACTTGTCCAGGACATGGAATAAGTTTCCCTGCCGACTTCATGCCAGACAGAGCTGGACTTGGTTTTACGTGCCATACAGTGATCTAACATGGCCAACGCAGTAAAAGGCTACCCACTCTTGGTCCATTGCCGGATAGCATTTCAATGACAGTCGCTGAAAGCAACGGACCCGTGGGAGCACATTTTCCAAGCTACGGGACCGCAAGTGCCGAATAAATCATATTCCTAGCATTACTCCCAGAGGTGCCACTTTGTATGCCCAGCCCCCCCCCCCCCACACACACTCCCCAATGCTGTTTCTAGTCCCCGCAATGCTGTTCTGAGCCTCCCTCCGCAATGCATGTGAGCAAAATGGAGCATTGGGCCAATGAAATGTAGCAAGTGTCTGAAATGCTGACATGCTAGGTGTCTTGACGCATCACTATCACTATCATCATCATCTCACTGCACAAAATATCATCATGATAATACCACGTACCATCATGATCACCATATCATCATTATGACCATGCCATTATAAACACTGCATAATCTTTACCATAATATCATCATTATTACTTTATCATCATTGCCACAATATTACCATCATCACAAATATATCGGCTTCAAATGAGAAGTCATTCCTTGACATCGAAACAAGTTTGGAACCGACGCATTTTGCACTACTATTATCTTATACAGCAGGGACGCAAATTAAAGTGATAACATCCGAGGGAAAAGGATTTGGGGGGGGGAGTAAGGTTAATTTTTTAGCTGATCTCTACCAACTGATTTTAGGAAATAACATCTCTGATGGCGCCACTATTTCTGTTCAAAAAAAGGGCTGCAAACAAACATAAAAGGTAAGGCGGTTCAGGGCCTTTTCGGATCGAACCATCTAAATTATGGATATGTCACTGGGAATTTATGACGCACTCATCTGCTGAGACTATATGGCACCGCCGGCCTCTCACCCTGACAGGAAGCGCGAGCGCTTCGGGGCATCGAATCCCGCGCCTGGGGTTTCCCAGGCGCGCAGTGGTTAGCACACACTCGGGTGGGGGCCAAATTGGTCTGTCCGAAGGTTTTTCCAGAATGGTTTCCGAACGGCGCGACGTAACCGCGCCAAATTTTGCATAGCTGTAGATAATTGAATAGCGGATCGTTCAGTACTCAAAATTTGGGTGTACCTTGTAATGTCGCTGATCTACGGCAGGTCAAATTTAGGCCATAGATTCTGCCATGTCAGTTTCTAGGGAATCGTTCAATCTGATGCGACAACGGAGTGTTAGACGGAGCCATACATCTCTGAGATACTTTATCAGGCAACACAACAGTTGAACGAACGTATTACATTGACATGAGGTCAGGTATGAAGGTCAGGCCAAGATGAAAACTAATCTGTTTTATTACTGAGGGCCTTGTTGTATGTGCTAGGTTCTGGTGCTCATTTCGAATTTATTAATAACAGGAACCGCATTATACGTCTCCCGCGGATTTTGCAAAGCCCAGAAAAGGGCGCTGACCAAAAAGGACCCAGACCAACATTTTGTTTTTAGGAGCATACTGCCCCCTCGTTATCTTTGTCACCTATCCCAATGCAAAACTCTAAGTGGTCTTGTGTGATTTTGATCACCATGACCTTCAAAGGGTTGAACAAGGCCAGTGACCTTAAATGAGTATGCGAACTTTTTCTTAGAACAATTACCTAGGTTCTGGGACACTTTGGAGATGAATCTGGAAGATGACCTTGTGTGACCTTATTTTACCAAAAATGCCTTTGCACCTTAAGAAGCGCCTTTGAACGCTTTAGGGCATCACTATGTACATCTAGAATATAGTTCGGGTGTATATTTCACCTGCATGATTTTTAGATTGATAAGTAGAAATAATTAGCTTTTACAGCACTGCGAACCATTGCTGAAATCTGGTGGCGGAACTGAAAGAGTTAAGCTCGAATCTTAATCTTTCGTATTCCTGTAGTTGTTAACCTGTCCAGAGGACAATCCCAAAATTTGGGAAGCGATTCGCCTAAGTGAATTTTTTTATCGTTTCGGATTGATTTTGGAAGACTTTCGGAACCACTCTTTCACGCCTCAAAATCTCCTTGATTTTCTCGGTTCCACGCCGGCCCCCGTCGTATGTTTGTTACATGCAGTCGGCTACGCCGTCCGGTTTTACGACACCTGCATCCTCGACCATCGCTGTTCTTGCTCCTGAGATTGCGAGCGCGCAGGCCCAACATTTTTTAATCACTTTGCATCACTTGTCGATTTTATAAATAACGAACGATCTCAGGCACACGTGGGTTGGCTCTTTTCATATTTCTACCTCATTTTGACCTCGTCTGTTTAACACCAATGAGACCCCTCAACTTTTCCGGGCAGGGGGCCACGGGAGGAGAGAGAGAGGTATAGACCTCACGATGAGACCACTGATCTCAGGATCTCTGGCCTCTTCAAGTTCTTCCTTACATCCTCGTACGTCAGAGGCCTTTTTCTCCTATCTTGTAAGGCAATATGCTGCGTGAGCATTGGTCACTCGGGTAATGGGTCTCCTTTCATTTTCTTTTTTTCGTTTGGAAAGTCTAAAAGTTTGTTCACGGATCATCATTAATAGTGTTTCAAAGAACAAATCGTCACTGATGAAAAATTGGAAAACTTAACAATTACTAATGTCCGACCAAAAATGCAGGGAGTAAACAGGCAGAGCATACTGTTTTATTGTGTGTTTGATATATTTGTCTGTCACTGAAATAAACTCATTACTAGCGTTAATATTGTTTTAGCAAATGTAATTAAAGCTGTCTTTTCTGAATCTGTGATAAGCCGACATCTTCTCCAAGAAAAACATGGTGGCAGTCGCACCTGCTCAGTATTCCATCTAAGCGAACATAAAAACATATTTCACGACCATTTGGGACATACGTAAATGCGAGTAAGTACGTATCAGTGGCAATCTTGCATCTCAAAATAGCATATTTGCCCCTATCGTGCGCGCATTGGAGAAGACATCATGCTGGAGATGTCAGTGAATAAGAATAGATGTTTGTCTACCGTTGCTCGTATAAAACGAAAGGTATGAGCTGCATTTCCAGAGAACTTTGATAAAGGGTATTTTGTCTCTTGTTAAGTGTATGTCTTAAGGGAAGATGATATCGAAATTCATTCTGTCAACTACTGTGTTATGTATCTGCGCTTGATTCAGCCTGCCAAGCCTCTGACGTCGTGAAAATGACTTTGACTCTTGTCATTTCGACATCCCAAAATTAACTGCATAAGCAACGACTTAACCACACATTTGTAAATGTACATGCGTTTGCTTTGGTGTATGAGATGTGCATGTTTGTGCGCGCACTATGATTGTGTGTGTTAGTGTGGTTGCGTGTGTCGCGATGTCGTGGACAAAACACCCTTGACGAGCGTTTCTACAATGGCCGGCGGCGGGGCTTGCGAATTTTGCGCTGAACACGCTGTTTAAAGACAAATGTAACCTCACGGTAAACTCAATTGGAAGCAACCAAGCGAACTTTTCCTTGTTGTCTCGCGACGACATGGGATCACGTCCCTCCGACCACCACTCTGTCTTTATCTCTGACATCCATGGGATTAGACTCTCGCTGTTGAAAACGCAAATGTTTAGGTCATTCGCCTTAGTTTCAAGCCCATGCTGGTCATATGTGTGATTGCATGCCATAGGTATGTACGTGTGTAATCTTTCTTGGTTATCGATCCGACTTTGAACGTAGTTTATAGCTCCGAATTTTATCTCACGGTATTTATAGTACCGTATCTTATCATATCGTAATTTATCGTATCGTATCTTAATTTATCGTACCGTATCTTGTCGCATCGTTTTCTTATATCATCATACCTTATAGCATAGTTCGTAGCATTGTATGTTGTAGTATGTTTTGCAGCACACTCTTTTACAGTATGCTTTGTAACTTGTTGCAACGGGTGAGTGAATGATGTAACGACCCTAAGCTAGCAAACGTTGTAACGAGTTGAAACCCGAAAAGCCACCTCGTGGATGGTTGCTAAGCAAAAAAATGCAAAATATTTTAGTTTTACACAAAGAACACAGATAAATGATGTTTTGCGGCGCATCGCGTCAAACAAAATATCGCGAATAATGTCACATTCAGGAATGCTTCAATGACAGTTACGAAAATTGCTTCAAAGGACAAAGACGAATTCCAATGGGAAATGCATCAGTGACTGCCCGCGGAAAACATGCCGATGTTTGGCGGAATGGCAGCGATCTGATGCGGCCAGTGCAGACCACAAACCATGACCCTTGCGGGAAGCGACTCACCAAAACAGCTGCGCCAGCCGCCGGCACTACGACAGGGGGCACCGTAGCCAGGTCACTGATCTGATGCGGCCAGTGCAGACCACAAACCATGACCCTCGCGGGAAACGACTCACCAAAACAGCTGCGCCAGCCGCCGGCACTACGACAGGGGGCACCGTAGCCAGGTCACTGATCTGATGCGGCCAGTGCAGACCACAAACCATGACCCTTGCGGAAACGACTCACCAAACAGCTGCGCCAGCCGCCGGCGCTACGACAGGGGCACCGTAGCCAGGTCACTGATCGATGCGGCCAGTGCAGGACCACAAACCATGACCCTTGCGGGGAAGCGACTCACCAAACAGCTGCGCCAGCCGCCGGCGCTACGACAGGGGGCACCGTAGCCAGGTCACTGAGGCTTCCGCGAACTGGAGCCGGCGCCCGGCAACCGGCGTTAGCGGCGTACCACGTCCGTTGGATTATTTTGGGCCACTATGCACCAAAACACTGGCCGCCTTCTGCACGGTAGCACCCTAGCTAAATTGCCGTCGGTATTGCTTCATGCTAATTACACACACGCTGGCAAAAGATGGATCATTAAAGAAGATCGCTTACGTGGAATCCGGCAGCCTGCACCAGGTTCGGAGGAAACATGTTCCTGAAAAAAGAAAAAATGGTTAGATCCCCGAAGCATCTTAAAGTTGGTCGCATATGAATAATGCATCACCCAGTGTGCACACGGTTCTTCAGCATTATTTGTTCCCGCGCTGGAGCCTATGTTTGGGCGGTGGTGTTCTGGGTGTATTCCGGCCACCTTCAACGGTCCCTGGATGGTCTCTCATGCTGACCATAGCAGGCCACGGGAGCATGGATCACGTCGCGCCCGCGACAGCGAACTGTTCTATCATAGGACAAGGCAATCAACTAACCGGTTACTCTGAGAGATCACGGCATGTTTTTAGCCGTCCCTGCCCGCTTTCTGTCAGCCCGACCCGGAGGCGACCGGCTCGGTGAGCTGGTTTTTGAGAGGGACGGTGTGAGAGTTGTGGCAAGCAGGCTTGACCGCGCCATGACCGAACATATGACCGGTGCGTTGACGAAGATGCTTCCGCACGGTGGTTCTATGAACGACCTTTGTCAGTTGCCCCCCCCCCCCTCCCCCACACGACGCACAGGTCACCGATGGTTACCGAGGTGGCGAACGGCGACGACGCCCTTTCGGAAATGGGGCTAGATGGTCACGCTTTTTTGTTTCAAAACCGATAGTCAGACAAGTTTACCACATCCACTTCTCCATCCAGTGCTACGTCGTAGCATACTTGCCGCAATTTGGTAATTTCTGTACCTGGTCTTTTCTCAATATTCGGATCGACGATGTGTCTCTTCCAAAACATTCAGCATAGCGCACAACACTGCGAACTGCACCCATTGAGCTATATTGACAGCTCTGAACGGCATCATTTTTCCGTTCCAAACGTGCAGGGTCTAAAAATATGTGAGGGAGGGTGATTTGAAACCTTCAGCAATCGATTCAGTGCAGTGAGGTGAGTCATGGGGTGGCGAAATCGAAAGTTGGTTTGGGGTCAAACTCGTAAAAAAATACGAAGGACAAACTTTACGTGCAAAAGCAGCCAACTCAGATCTCAAGGCCTGCTGTACTGATCGTTGTTGAACCTTCACCATTGGATTCCCATACCTTATAACCTTGTCACACAGGTGCGAGGCCCAGAAGCAAACGGTGGCAAAAATGACGGAAAAGACATTACTGCTTCTGCCGACAGGAACGTTGAGCTTCATCGTGCGTGCTGTACGCAACCGCGGCAATGCGTGATTTGACGACTACGACCGTCCCAAATGTACCGACTAAAATATCTCCCGTACGGTGTACTTTGTGTGTCTTTGTTCACCCCCCCCCCCCCAAAAAAAAAAACAGCGCCCTTGCGTTCGCACACGAAATACGCAGAAATGCTTTCGCTGTAATGACAACGATTGCAAAAAATAAAAAGAACAATGACCGCGCTTAGGCACTACAAAAGAAATAGCGTATGGCTTCATGGTATGCATCGCAGTTGCTAGGTATCTCTAATCGAATGGTGAAGCATTGGAGAAGATCGGAGTAGTAAGTTCTGAATGAGTTGTCTGCAGGTAAGAAGTTTGGAAATTGTGAAATTTGACGACTTTTAACCTCACTCAGGGTCACCAAATTTTCAAATGCAACAGGAGGAAATCAGGTATGGCGCATGGCAGAGCCTTGGCAGCGATCGGCTTGATAGGTTCTGAGGACAGAGTTGTCTGCAATCAATAATTTTGGAATTTATGAAATTTAACGACTTTTGACCCGCTCTGAGGTCACCAAATTTTCAACTGCAGGCTCCTGCAAGAGGCAATCAGGTATGGTGCATCCGATGGTGAAGGTTTCAAAACAATCGATGCAGTAGGTTCTGATATCTGAGTTGTCTGCTTTCGCGTGTGAAATTTTCCCCTCGCGTTTTTGAGGCGACTGACCTCGGGTCAGGTCTCCACATCGCCACACCTCACTGATGTGACTCACCTCATTGCTCCGAATCGATTGGTGAAGGTTTCAAGTTGATCGGAAGAGTTATTTCGGAAAACAAGCGTGTCTGCTTCATCTAGTCGGTTTTAGATCCTGCCTTTTAAACATCTCAGGTTGTCGTTATTGTACTGGAGCCCGCCGTTGCGCACAGTCAACAGCGTTAAAAAAAAAAACGCTGAGTTGCGCCCTGAGCACATGACTGTTCCTGCAGCCGCTCGAAACCTTCCGGTGCCTCCTGAACTGTTATTGGAACCATAATGTTCCCATGAGCGGATTACTGACACTCAGTGTCCTCAGTGGCACTCAGTGTACTATACACGCTCATGACAGTTTAAAATTACGTTCTGACGCATTAAATCGCGAGAATCAGATCAGCAACTAACAAGAAATTAAACTAATCTAGCCCACCAGAAAAAATTTCGCGCCTTTTTCGGTCCAGAACAAGGAGACGGTATGAGTTGAAAAACCGTCAAGTTTCAGCAAATATTGACCTATGGAAATATTGACCTCTACGCCCTTTCGACTCTAGCGCTAAGGACACACTACCATCATTGCGAGCGCCACAAAATGGCACTCCACTTCCATATCTTTCATTCAAAACCGAACCCTTGCACTGAATGTGGTCCGCATCAACTTCACTCTGATAGATGAAGGGTTAGGTACCTAATCCCCAATCCTTGTGTATTCGGGTTGGAATGGGCTGGAATTGAACATGCGAAACGGCATCCAGTACCTCATGCAAAGCTTGATAAGATTTGCTGGGATATGTTTGGTTTCTCAGGTCAGTGTCAAGGCCATATCAGGTCAACTAATATATATTCCTGTCTCATCGGGCATTCTCAAAGCAACTTCTGAGTTTATTTCCGCGCGATGCATCCATGTAATAAGCAAAAACGACTCCTTTTAAACGATTAGCATCAACCAAGGGTGTTTAACAAAGGTCATATTGATCGACGTCATCCATAGTCGGCATCCGTCACCATCCTATGCTCCGGCATCCCATGTGTGCCGGTGCTTGTTTCCGATGATTATTTATGGTCACTCGCCCTCTCCACACTCGCGCACTGATCACCCGACAGTGAGAGTGGCGCACAAGGCACCATTCCCTTCCTCCGCCTGGCAGGCGGAGAACAATAGCCAATTGCAGACAGTTGGAATTACAGCTGTCTGCAGCGCCGGCGTTAGTACAAAGTTCGTCCGACGCCCCATGACGACGACGACCACCACAAAGCCTCTGAAGTTTAGACTCACTGGACAGGAGTGCTGGCTGGCGTCGCAAGGCCGGGTACATTTTGATTGCAAATGAAGTCACTCCGAAGTCAATGCGTTTGGCTGATTGAAAGTTCATGTCTCCAGTAAGGACTTCACAAGGACAAAAGGAAGCATTCAGGCAGCCAATGCGCGTAGGCTCTAGATGATTTGCTCTAGTTGGGAGAGGGACAGAAAGTGCAAATTGTATCCATATTCTAGGTAGAACGCCGCGTAACCCGAACCACTAAGCAGAACTTGCTTCAACCACTTTGCAGCCCAAAGGCCGAACGGCAATGCTAGTTCCCATTCCCCCGCGTGACAGTGCTTCTGTCGCCTATGTCACGTGAAGCAATACACTTTACACGGGCTTGCACCAAGTTTTTCAGATGGAGAGTTTGCCACCAAGGCTGTTAAATGCACTCAACCTGCGAAGATATGACCCAACTCTTTTGCTCGACAAAACGTCTTTGCGCAGTGAAGACTTGTTACAACCAATCATGTGTCGGCGCGAAAAACCATTGCAGCTGACGCGCCCTTATAGCCCGATAACTGACTAACATCCTATCGTGCGGACGCTCTGCATGTAGGAGATATTGTGCGAGCGCTTGGCATGTAGTGAATATTGAGCAGAGGCTTTGCTAGTAGGGGATGTTGTGCGGACGCTTTGATGTAGGGAATATTGTACAGACACTTTGCATGTCGGGATATTGTGCGGACGCTTTGCAAGTAGGGGATATCGTGCTAACGCTTTGCATGTAGGGGATATTGTGCAGACGCTTTGCATGCAAAGGAGTATTGTGCGAACGTTTTGTATGTGGGGGATATTTTTTTATCTGAACCATGCCCCGTACTTCAAGGTCTGGGTATGGAGATAAAGCAATGCATGATATGAACATCCCGGCTATAAATCAAAACCACCAAGCCGTCCCAGCATGCTCCTTTTCGGCTGGCAAATTGGCTTTCAGAATCGCCTCCTCTCCCATTGGTCAGATCTATGATCTCATCATGGCGGGAACCACAACATTGCTGTGCCTATGGACTTCTGTTTCCCTGAAGAATGACCCACAACGACTCACTCATAATGACTCACTTATTAACTCACATTAATGACAAGGGCTCAGGGCCCTTTGTGACATGCTCTGGAATTGAGTTCCCTTAAATGAAGGGTTTGGTGCCTCTCGCCGAATAGATTAATTCAGAACTCCGTCAAGCGAGACGGCACGAACCTTGAAAAGACACTGAAATTTGGCGATTAAAAAATTAAGATTTTGGGCTCCTTGTGGCGTGCCTGGAATTTGTTGCCTCTCGAACACAAAAATTGTGATGCTGTAAAGTAAAAGCTTGATGCTCCTTCATCAAGATATTGTGATGCCCTTTCGGGACACCAAAACTCATGGCCCAAAGTGGGCGTGGCCCCATGAGCCCTCCCTCCGGATCAGGCCCTGCATGCACGATCTATATGTCAGGCGGCATGCTGGGGTATTTGTCGTGCATTCCCTCACAGCCCGCACTGACAGCAATGGCAGTGCCTATTCTCTGAATGCATGGAGGTGGGAAGATGGGCGGTCGAACCAACATGCTCTTCAGATCTCTTTTGCGTCATGCTATTGTGATAGCAACCCAGACTTCTTGACAATACTCTCAACCCTGCGCGGGAGCGTCTTGTCAACGCACAACAGCGTGAAAAAAAAAACATTCGCGTTGGTCTGTTTTTTTTTTTTGCTGGAAAAATGTGGAAAAGATTGACTGCAGGAAATCTGCGTCGTGCCTACGGGAAAACCATGTACTGTCTCAATATGGATAGGCTTTCCGGCCCTGACACTCCATGGAGGACGTAATGGTCGACGTTGTCGAGTAGATCGCAAAGATTATCGACGAGGGTGAAATGGGATTGTTGACGACGCTCGACTCATGTACAGCTTTTGACAGCGTCGATCATGGTGTTTTCCCACACAAGTTAGAATGGTGAGGCGTATGCTCAGACTGGTTCCCCATCTACCTGCGTGACCGGAAGCCAATGGTGGTGTGAGGCTCTCACTTGATTCGCCCACTCACTCATGGCGTTGCTCACAGCTCCATAGTCGGACATGTTATCTTCCCCATCTCCTTCATCTACCTGGCATTATTTCTTCCCCATGGCCGACTCTTGTCCCATGCTGATGACACTCAACTCCTGGACCACCCCTCTCCCGACGTCATCAGCTCACCCCACCTGGAGGCCAGTGTCGAGCAGGCTATTCTACACCTTCAGAGTTGGTTACAGTCCAAATGCCTCGAAATCAACTGCAAGATAACCTATTTCATCATCGTCGGCACCAAATCTTACATCAAAAACACGTATTCAGCGTCTGCATTATCCAGTCAGGCCAACGAATCCCGACATGCCTCACTGTGAAGGCCCTGGGCATGGCCTTCGACCAGGGCCTGCACTATTTCACACCCAAAGTCATTGGGCTGCTGGTACAGGCTCACAACGTCCCCCAACCACTGTACTTCCTCCAAGTTTGTGGCAGGGCTGCCAAATGTTGTCTGCCACGGATTCAGAAAGCTGCCAACTTTGCGAAAAGCCTAGTTACTGCGATACGGCGCAGTGAGCACATGTCACCTGCCCTCAGTTCTTTAGGTTCGTCCGGGTGGCGGCTGGGCGGAAGGAAGTGGTGTATCAACGAGATTGCCTCAGAGTGTTTGGGATACCGAATGAACGCACCCGCCCGCCAGCCCTCAGAGTTCTCTGTTAGGCACTCCCAGGTGTCCCCTTGACCATCGCACGCCAGGCTCATGGTGCTTTCGGAAGGACTTCTTGCCAGCGGCTCTGTGGGGCACGTTTGTAGCCGACTGGGTGGTTGACATGCGAGCGGTGGAGTCAGCGGAGGTAGTACGCGGCATTGGCGCAGAGGAATAAGTCGGACGCCATGAACATCACTGAACCTTACACCTGTGCCTGCCCCGTCCGCGCCCACGCTGCCGGGGTACCACGCAGACCAAATACGGCGCAGTCAGCTGACGAAGATGGACTGCTACCCTGAACCCGAACCCTCCCGCGCCTCTGTTGTCGGGGGCGCCACGCTCCAATGAGGCTACCGCTTGGCTCTGGCGCTGCCTCCGCTGATTGGTACCCGCCGCCCAGCGCTCCTCGTGCACTTAACGCCGAGTGCGCCGATCTCCGAGGCCGAACCGTGCGCTGCGTGGCACGACATGGCCAATCTAAGGCCAGCTGGCGGCTGCAGTGCTCCCGGGCCGATCCCATGCACAGCGCAGAAAGTTACAGGGTAAGGCGCGGTATGAGGTGCAGTGGTGGTGGGTTGCGAATGCTAGTGCTTAGTAATTGGTTCCACGAACCATCGAACATTTGGCGGGACACTGCTTTCAAAAACTTAAGAAACCGCGGCGCCTGCGACAAACGGTGGGCTCTACCTACCTACAGCAATCATAAAGTAATGTGAAATGAAACAGACAGCTGAACATTGCGGCGCTTGGGGTTATGTGCTTGATTAATACGTGATCTACTAATTGCCTGCTCTAGTTTGTGTGCGTAAAAATTAACAAGTGTAGGTACACGCACCTAAGCGGAGGCAATAGCGAAACATCTGGACCGGAAACAGCATGTAGAAGGTCCAAGGATGAAAACAACTCTCAGTGGATCCCAAAAAAGATGGCGCAATCTCCATCCCCACAGTCAGAAATCCTGCTCCGGGTTCCTTGGACAGTGCTGCTTAAAAGCGTGAATAGGATCACGCTTTTTGTAGACATAACCAGGCTTAGTGTTTGAAGGGAGATTCAGCGACTGCTCTCTGAGCTGCCTGGCTCAGTGGATGAGCTATGCCATAAGCGCGGCAGCACCACCAATGCTTGATCGGGGGGGGGGGGGGGGAGGGGGTCGGCAAGGACGTGAAGCCATCACGACGTTTGAATAAAAAATTGAATGATAAATCAAGCGTTTGATACTTAGCGTTCCCCTAATCGACAAGTGCTATGCAAACTGCGTATGTGCCTTGCCCTGCACTTCCGCACGGCGAGGAGGCGTGGCAGCGAGACAGGGACTGAGACTTAACCTATAACTTTCTGAAAATATAACATTGCCGCGAAGGCGTTGGCATATTGTAGGCGTTGACTGGAAAGAAGAAAAAATTAAAAGGCCATCTGCCTTTCCCCTGTCAATTTGGAAGGACGGCACTTGCTACAAGCCCACGAAAATATATTTTCTCACAGTACCGTATCTTCTAAGCACAAAGAATCTTGTCGTCCAGGTCAGTTGGTCAAAGTGGTATAGAAGCGCAATATATCTAGTGGCAAGAGCTTCGAAGGGTGCAATTTCGTATATGTTTATCCTAGAGCTACGCTGTGGCTTGGCCGCCCAATTAAAAGGATTTTAGTCGGATTGTCGAAATGTTAACAGAGAGTAAATTTGCCCATTTATTACAGTGGTAATAAAGTATCCCAACGGAATGCTGCTTGCAGATCACAGAGCTCAGATACTCCTTCCATGTCTACACCACTACCGTCATGGTACGGCCCTGAGTACGGCCAAACCCTCTTTAGCGTGACGTTATCATACTGGCAAAAGGGACTTCGGCACGAGCTGTATCCACTCGACCCAGGCGAAAGCTACGCTCGTGACCCACTGGTGCTGTGTTGATCCCGTTCTGCGTCACCAAAAAGCGAGGCAAGTTTTCAGCCACTGCCGCGTGCTGAGCCAGCGTTCAGCAGCGGCTGAACTGGCGGGTGGGGTCGTGAGGTGATGTAGAAGCTGGACGACTTCGAAGGCGGGCTCCCGCGCATTGCGCCTGACATTCCGAAGAATGGGCGGGGGACATACTCGCCTCCTCGGCAAATGGCAAGACGGCGGCAGCTCCCTTGTCTTTCCAGCGGCATTACTCCTGGGCGCTTCCATAGGGTTGGCATGCACGGCTTCTGCGTCACCAAAAGTAAAGTTGTTACAAGGTTGAACATGGAAAAGAAACAGGTGCAGAGGGTCTGTTCAGATCACTTGAGCGCCATGTTACGACGTGATAGACTTGAAACAAAACGCATGCTAGGTTGCATGCTGTCCTGTGCGGTTTTAACCCCTCCCGACTGGTGCGAGTGGAGGATATTTGTGACCCCTAAGGATTTCCCAGCGCACCGTAAATTTGAAATGACGCGATGACCGCGAATGTTCTCAGACATGAAGTCAACATTGTCCTTACTGATATATGATAGATACTGATATGATGGATAAGTTACTTGATGATACTTGATGATGTATTACTGATAGATAAATGCTAAATTACATCCGCAATGTTGTTAGTTTGAACACAAATCCTGAGGAACTGCTTACTATCTAGTGTAATCGTCTTTGCTAATCGCGCCATGTTCCCCTTAGACCAAAACTTGGCCACGTCCCTGCATTTTCTTGGATATGGTTTTCGCAATTCCAGCCTAGGTCAAGTGATCCCATCTCAGAAAGCAACTACTTTTTACTCATATTTACGCATCAAGGTAATCTTGAACTTGATTTGTATTAGCACTATCATATCAAGAGTTGTGAACAATACTTTAAGTTGGCTCCTGCCAGTCCGGCCAGCCGCTGGAGGAAAACTCGACGGAAACCATTACACTACAAGTTATAATAGCATAAAATGTCCAAAACTTAAATGACACAAGCAAAAGCACATGCATCGCATAGGGAAGTACTTCTGCAACTTTGTCCAAATCTGTCCATACCTAAACAAGCTAAGGGCTAATAATTTTTAGACTTGGCCTCAGACTGACCTCGACGAGTACCGTGACCTACTTACGTCTTGTAGAGCGTATGAAAATAACAGTGTTACCCCAAGAATTAACGACATTTCATTTTAGTACTCGTATTACGACTCGATATCAGTCTTCATCTTTCCGTAAACAATGTATAATATCCATTATTAATAAATAGCAATAGCATGATATACATCAGCACATCATTAATAGGTAGCTAGGCACTTGATGATGTGTAACCACCTTCTAATTCGGCTTTAAAATCTAGGCAGGAAGACATGGAAGGCATGCAATATGCCCGACCCGTGTAGCAGAATACCGCCGAACGATCTTTTGGACACCCAAGCTGCATCGAGGTAGCACCTCTAGCAATGTAGTCCTACCTATGTGAGGAAGCTTCCTCACGGTAGACATTGTGGGATATGGATCCCGTGGTGAAAATCTTTGTAAATAAGTTGTTTTCTTCCGCAAAAAGGGCTGCTGAGATAGGGGGAATGTCCCCTCCTAACTGATGGTAGGGGTGGAGGCGCGTCCCGCGTCTCCCCCGGCGGCACCGCCCCGACTACAAGCTTTCAATTTGCTCTACAGATGAGGCGGCCCGTAATTTGATAAAGCACCATAAGGTGAACCAGCCACAGGTCTGATGAGGCCCGTCAGCAAGATTCATCGACTAGTCTGATGAGATCCATTATGGAGACCGTCGACTCGTCTGATGGGTTCATTAGAACAGCCCGTCAGCCGAAATTATGAGGTCGACCCGGCTGACCCACGCGACTCACCTGATCAGGTCCATGAGCGTGTCCGCGGTGGTGGTGTTGCGGCCGAATTCGACTTTGACGATGCCCTCGTCGTTGCCCTGGCCCGGGTGGATGGCCACCACCAGAATGATGCCCAGGATAACGGCCATCACCGTGGTCACCATGTAGTAGCAGACGGCGCGCGCGCCGATTCGGCCCGACAGGCTGAGGTCCAGGTTGCCGACGGCCGAGATCAGGCTGGATACAATCAGCGGCAGAATCAGCGCCTTCAGCATGCGCAGGAACAAGTCGCCGACGAAAGCGACGTACATGGCGTCGCGCGCCGACCACGACTCGTCACTGGAGGTGCGTAAGATCAGGCCGAGCACGATGCCAGCCACAACGCCCAGCAGCGTTAGCAGCGTCAGCGCGTTCGTCTTCAGGCAGCTGCGTGCCCGCTTCAGCCGTGCGTGTCCAGGCATCTTTACAGGCTGCCGCAGGTCCTGAGGAAAGGGAGCATAGTTATAGAAGATGGGACACCCTCACAGGCTGCGGATGGTCGTGAGGGAAGGACACCTACTTAAATAAGATGAAACATGCTCATAGGGTACAGTTGTTCCTGTGGGCATGGTACAGAGTTACAGACGGCATGGCATCCTCACAAGCTGTAGTTGTTCCTGTGGACAGGGTACAGAGTTACAAAATATGTGATATCCTAACGAGCTGCAGCTGGCCCCAGAGTTCAAGGAAACGGGAAACCCGGGGACCTTTTCAAGTTCAGCGAAGGCGGGTGAAACCCATACAGAAAGGCATGCACTCGCCGCATCCAAGTACAAGGAGATGAGGACGCAAACACGTTCCCAAGTTTTCCTCAAGCTTGACTCAAATGCCACTTATTGCACACTAGGGTTGCTCCTTTTCTGTTCAAAGCAAAACGCGGCACACCTTTGCACGAACCGGCGGTGGCTCCAGTGGTCACATTAGTGCCAAGGTGCCAATCGGAAATTCAAGCTGAGTCCCCTTAGTGAAATCTTCGATTCTATTTTCCCAGCTGTTCTGGTCTGAAATAAAATTTGCTTAGAAGGTTTTCATATAAGGCATGCTTAACTTCAGGCTCTCTTTTTCTCGCATTTCAACAGAAAGATCGGATGCTTCTTGCGGAAAATCTCAAAAGCCATCGGTAAAAGGTTTTTAAAAAAAATAGAGTGATGCCTGCTCACTATGGGCACATCTTGCTCCCGGCACCTTGCAGGTAAAACATACGCATCATTACGGTACACTTGTCTGCAAAAAAGTGCAGCGTCGTTACCAGGGCTGCAGAGTTAACAGCTTCCGGCGCCGAAAAACAGTGGTCATCGCCACGAGTAGTCGCTTGGAATCGAACGGTCACCTAGTACATTGGGTTCAGGCAGGCCGTCGACATCCTGAGCATTTCCATAAATCACAACTCGACGAATAAATAAATGACGCTCTTGTCCAATGGTGCCATGACTGACTTAAATTGCTACCATATTTGAGCGGAGAAGAATGGTTAACATGATTGGTGCGGATGAGTAACGATGGCTTTACACGTGTTTGGATCGGGGTCAGTTCACCCCCCGCCCCCTTCCCCCCTAGGGTTTTAAGAGAATAATTTCCGAACAGCGCAACGTAGCCGCGCCAAACTTTGTATAGTTGAAGGCAACTAAATAAATAGCGGATCTCTTGGTATAACACGTTTGAAGTGCATTGTACTGTCGCTGACCTATGGCAGGCCAAAGTCAGGTCATGGTTGTCAGCAAATGCAATCTGTAGGTACTCGTACAATCTGATGCGACAGCGGAGTTTTAGACAGGGCCATGTGTATCTGTTATATTTTCTAAGGCAACAAAGCAATCGAATTTAGACTTACAACAAAATTAATTGGCCTAGAGTCAGGCGTGAAGAGTAGGCCGAGGCCTAAGCTCACCTGCTTTTTTACTGAAGAGTTTGCTGCATGGGGTAGTTTCTGTCGCTAACTTTGAATTAATTAATAATAGGGACCAGCATCAAACATCTTCCATGGATTTGTGAATTGTTAGAGAAGGTCGCTGATCTTAAACGAACCAGGTTAACATTTTATATGTTTGAGAAACATACCGCCTAAAGTAATCTCTGACGCTTATTCTAATACAAAGACCGAAACAGTTCCGCAGGATTTGGGTTACCATAGTCTTACAAATGTACAACAAGGCCACTGACCTTAAATGAATACCGGCAACCTCTTGCTTGGAACAGGTATCCAGGTTTAAGACGGTCATATGAGGAGCTCTGGGGACGCTTAGGGTAGCCGTCTCGAGTTTGACTTTGTTTGACCTTACTTACTTTACCCAAAGGTCATGACCTAAGAATTTGAAAGTCACACAAATGTGTTCACATACAGGTTAACCCAGCTTGTGAATTTCATGTTTCTAGTATGACTGGATTTTTAGATCTCAGGAGGGTCAGACTGACCCCTACTCGAGTGAAAGGTATTCAATCGGACATTCATACGTGTGTTGAAGCGATATTTAATTTGGTTCGTTGTTGAGCTTTAACGGAGCGCTAACTGCCTAGGTTGTTTGTGCCCATAAATAATTTTAGAGGATTTATATGTTATATGTCTGCACTTTCCATGTCACATGATCACCAAGCTGAGGAAATTTCGAGCTGGTAGTCACAATCATTATCTATTACATCGGCAACTTGCTTACTCCTGGTACACCCACTCCTTGGATGTTAAACAACAACGTATCTTGGTTTTTTTCTGACATGAAAACACTCAACATGGATTGCGCTTGTATGGCCCGGGTTCTCGTTACCTGTGTTCCTGGTTTTAGTTCCCAAAACAATGCAAAATGGAGCAATTCCTCCATTTTGTACCGGCCTCTTGTACCGGCTGTAAACGCTCAAGCATATCAGTTGTATACCACCAGCAAGCCCGAAAAAATGCTAACATGTTTGGCCAATGCTCGAATTCTCTACCAGCTTTTCTGGCCGTTTTACGCCCAGTTTGTTTATTCGACAAGCTAGTAGTTGGTACCCGTACACCGACGATACTATGCGAAATGTCTCCAAGCGTGTAAACAACCCTTTGCCCTGCAAATTTGGTTTGCAGTGAACTCAGAAGGCTTAAAGGATTTGCAATGATCTTCAAATGATTTTTAAACGACCTTTAAACGACCCGAAGGTTTTAAACGACCTGAAGTTTTAAATGACCTGCAAGGTCAAACTAAAAACAAAAATGGTATGCAGAAGGAAGATTCCAATTCGGCGACCCAAACGATACAGGAATGGGCGAGGAAAAAACAATCATTTTGCTATTTTTTTCGTCATTTCTTGAGTTTGAAAAGGGCCGTCCTAGTAATACAGTTTAGAGGATTGGCGGTAGGGCATTCTGTTCAGATTAGGGCATCCTGTTGAGATAGGTGGTTCCTGACATTTCCGTATCACCGTATTCCTTATTACACAACTGAATGCAATTTCAATGTGATAAGATCTATCAAAGAAACGTTAGTTCCGACGCCGTAGTGGCAAGACTTCGACCAAGGCATGGTTTGGCATGGCAAAATATAGTTATTTGAAGAGGAACGGGTAGCTGCGCCGCTGACTGGCTTTCGGTGCGCACCCCTAGCTCACTCGCGTACCGCCAGCTTTGCGGCCTTCGGCTCCATTAAGGGAGCCGTGGCGGAGCTGCAGAGGCGGCAGCAAAAACATTCAAGGCATATCATCCGCGCTACGTTTAGATAAACACAGATACGGCGAACCGTGCAGTCGAGGTCAGGTAGCTTTGGTGCACACAGTGCTGAAGTGTGAGCGCCAGCTGGGTGATGTCATAATATACGATGAACACACCAGCTCTTGGTACTCGGTAACGATGCGTGGTGATAGCGTGGGATGCTGCACGCACTGCAGCAATCTTGCAACTGTAGACAAATTCGCTGTGCGCATGCCCACATAGAAAAAAAACACACTTCAGCAACAGTACTGGATGTCCTGTATAATCAGGTGACATCATAGAAAGCCCAAGCGTTCAGCTAGGAGAACTAGAAAAGAAAGTGTGGCCATATCTTGCCAGAATGTACGTTTTTTTTTGCTGCTTAGTGGTTGCAATTGTCAAAAGGTCAAACAATTTCTGGCAGTCATCATAACTTCTCTGCTAGAAAGTGTCGCAGCGCAGATGACAGATGTCGATTCTGGGTGGCATTCATCTCTGAGGATAATGTCAAATGTACTCGCTTTTGCGTTGCATTTTTTGCGTAGAAACAAACATTGACACACCAGCACTCATGCACGTGACATAAAAAATCCGACGTTGTAGGCATGGTTTTTATTCCATTCATTTATTTGCTTAAGTTATTGACGATATGATATCATATTATTCTTATGTCAAAACATGATTTGATTGTCGGCTGTACTTCCATTACGCGCTAGTTTAGGCTTGCAAATAAGATCCCTAAGGTCTTATTTGCCCCTAAGATCTTATTTTGAGACAGAAATGTCTCCAACATATAGTGCCGACACGTATGGCATTTCCAGTGAAGTGACACATCAAGTCCATGTACCCGTTCCGATACACGGTGAGAAACATTGTGCCATAAATTGATAGGAGTGCTGCCTACGCATATACTGATAGCAAACGTTGTTTTCACAACAGCTTGCAATGATACTCAGCTATGACTATATGCTGGTTCCCGTCTTCATTCTTGAGTTTTTCATGCCAACATCCGATTGCAGCGATGTTTATCGTACCACTTAATCCTAAACAAAAAATTGAGAACGGGTCGTCTTGAAAATTCTTGCCGATTAACACAAACGAAATTGTGAAATTGTTCTTACCTACATAAGATCTGAGAGCTCAGCCATTAATATTCAGAGGCCAGTTTATAAAAAAAAATTATGTCGCCCCCTGCGAAAAGAAATAACTCCACCAAAAAATTTCCTCCGTTTGCCGAGTTTTATAAACGGTACTGACCACCGACGTAAATTTCACCGTCGACGGCTTTTTTAGACTCAGTCAGCTGTTGCCTATCAGAAGTGCCAGATGCTATCGTGCCGCAAACAAACATCTTTTATTTTTACGATGGTCGATTATGCTTATTGAGAACGACTAATAGCTTTTGTTGTTACCAATAAGGTGCAACAAGTGTCTTTTGTGTGCCATTTGTATCTTTGTTCCGCAATAACATTTTAACATTTATATTCAAAACCAATTTCTACCCGAGCAGTAGGCAGTGGTCAAAGGTACACAGGAAAATATAGCTCGGCGTGCGAAACTTTTGCATTTTCTGAAAAGTTAAAGGTATGAAACATTCGGAGTCGCGTAAAAAATACATTCATGGTTATGCCGAGTAGATATAAAGCCAGTGTGGTAAGTAACGCATTGGTAAAATCCTTTGCTGAGACACATGTCAGATCTGAATAAAATAGTGCGGCATGGGTAGGCGCTTGCGCATTGGTCGCTGTTCTGTCCACCGTTTGCAGGAAGTTGTGTTGAGGAATCTGAGCTCCCGGAAACGCACTTGGAGCACGGCATATAACTTCGTGTGAGAGGGTCAGACCACGTCTAAGGGAGGCTAGGGAGTGGTCATGCCCCCCCCCCCATTCGGTTTGCCGGTTATAAGTGAATACTCAACCACAAGCATGCCACAAAAGTAGTTCAATGAAAACAAAGACATGCATACTTTGAATAAATTACCCAGTTATTATCTCATTGGCGAAATATTGCACGCAAAATTAGGGGAAATGGCGTTTGAATTCTGGTACCATGCGGTAAGGCATTTGTTTACTACCATTGACTGAAATCCCATGGCATATGCCCGCCCCCCCCCCCCCCCCCCCAGCCCGATTCATCTCCTGGTTTAATGGCACTGCTTGCAGCCCCGCGTATCAATATTTCACTGTTTGGCGCATGCCTACATGGTACCTACCTACCAAGGAATACACCTGGGTATTCCTCCATCCTCCTCTGATCTCCCCAGAACCAACTTATCTCGGTGGCAGAGAAATCGAACGTAGGTCGTAGAATCTAAGCAAATAGGTCTAGTGGGATGTAGGATCCAGGCAGGCAGGCAGGCTTCTCTACAGATACACACCAAGGTTCAGTTATGCATGTCTTCACTCGAAGCAACGCGAGCCCGTTGGTATTGGTCTACGTAGGCATCCATTATCACGTTCTAAGGAGTTTGGGGTCCTGCTGTGGCCAAAATTCCTATTTTTTACAGCAATTCCAAACCTGACAAGCGTATTATTCCTTTTGTTCGCTTTCATCGTTTTCGGCCCAAATCTCAACACGCATTTGCCCGCCGTCATTGACACCCTCAGCTGCAACCGCGCCGCCAAAACTGACACTATCGACAGAAGCTATTTCAAGGACGGGGCGTGCCGAATGCGTCAACGAGAGAGTTGACAGCGATGCTTGGCGGTGGTGAAAAAGAACAAAAAATTTACTGCTTGGCGCATGGGCACCTAAGAGGTGCCATGGTTAGCGCTGACGGCGGACCGTTCGACAGCCAACGCGCGTTTTACAGATGCTTGAGAGGACGATGCATCCTAGGAATGGTCATGCAGGTAGACTACTAGCTGCCTTCTACCAATGCATCATGCCTACATTCCTAATGACACGGTTACCACAAAACTGGAAGACTTTGCTGAACATGCCAGATACCTGCCCTGATTGCGTTACATAGCAAATAGTGTCCTACCTTTACTTTCACCAGCTATTTGAACACAAATTAGGCGGAGGCAAGTCTATGTATTTGAGACAAAAAGGCAAACATGACAACAGAAAAAACACCGTATTTTGCTCATGGCAATGCCAACAACATTTAAAGTTCCAAGCAGTTTGCATGATTTTGTTGTCGCTGCCGGTTGATGGACCTGATGAGGGCCGCTCGACACAGGGACACCTCGAAATCGGGCAGCGTCTACTGTCATTCATCTGCAACCAGAGACAGAACATCAATCATGGAATGCATTGGTTTCACGCATATAATCATCAGAGTTAGGTATACACTTGCCAGAATATTTGCAGGCCGTTGCACTCTACTTGCATGTTCAGTTAACATGCACATTGCATGTTAGTTGACAGAGAAGCGCATATAACAACAGTAGGAGGAGGGGGGGGGGGGGGCGTTCAACAATCACTTTAAAATGCAAAAAGCTTGAGTTCGAAATGAAGTAGGACTCATGACTGATGGGGACTTACACCTGATTAAATTTAGTACCTTCAAACCCAGCAGTGAAACATAAAATTAAATTCTCATGAAAATAATGGAACACCAGTGTCCTTATCTTCCAGTCCCACGCACAGCCTCAAGAAATTCGTGACCCACAATATCGCCGAGGAGCCCAAAGCGAACATTAGTTAAAAGTGATGGAAAACAGGGCCACAGCAGGGTTTCGTAGGGGCCGCCCGGTTGAATTATGCGCTGTGGCGATATCATTAACATTGTCAATAGCAAAACAAGCTATCAATCTAATGATTGGAGAACAATCACAGCCTTAGCCTGTTCTCATTGTATTAGCGTCATTGCATGCATAGAAATTTAACAACGCGGAGGTGTGCATCAACCTAGCTGCTTTGATCTGAGGGATAGCCCTTGCCCCCCCCCCCCCCTTTTGCTTGTCATGGTGCTATTTCATACCATAATGTAAACAGTACAGTTACGCATTCTTAAATAAGGCACTTCAGCACACGAGGGTAACTCTGAATGAATACAGCCATTAGTCGTGACTTCGTCACAACTTAGCACATGGGTGAGAGAGGCCATCTGGAGCACCAGGGGTTAGGGGGGGGGGGGGGGGGCAACCGGCAACTTAATCACAGAAACTAGTGAAACTATTGCTGTTGCCCAGGAGTGTAAAGATGGTGGGTTGGATGTGGGGTGGGGGTGAGGGGAGGCTATCACTACATAAATCACTAACTTCACAGAAAGATGGGCAGGCAACGACAACCAGGGATGCAAATAGCAAATACCATCTAAGTTGCACACAAAAAGAAGATATTTAGTCTGGTGTAAACATCTAAGATGACTAGTTCAAAGGGCCTGTTAAGATATCTATGCACTTAAGCATTGTGTTGTTCCCCTTTTTCCTTGCCACTAGAAATAATACAAATGCTTCAGGTACTCATTCAAGAATTCAGATCACTGGTTACCACCCAAGCATAGGCCATGAATGGGAAGGGGGGGAGGAGGTGGGGGCAGGGAGAACTGCCGCACAAATAAGGGCAAATTTTGACAAAAGCTCCCCCCTCCCCTCCATCCAGCAACTAGACAGAGGCTGCACTGCTACGCCGCCCCCCTCCCCCCCACTCTGTGTCTTAGCGTGCTACAAGCAGCAAGATGTTGGCGTGTGGGTAAAGCTGTGATATATCCTGCAATAGCGCAAATATTTATAAGTCGATGCTCACCTGTACGCTGTAGCATGTTGCTGAATTCTGGACAATGTTTTCAGAGACGTTGCTTGCAGTCTATGCTTCTGCGTCTTACACGCATGGGGTAGAACCAAAGCACCGCATAGGCATCTCGGAGCATAATGTACACTGCCGGTCCTTATCAGTAGTCTGATGTAGGCCTGATGTCGATTTCACCATCAGTCAGGTGGGAACAAAACGATACAAGCTGAGCAGTGAAGATGCGCGCACCCTGAAGCTAGGTTTCTGAGCCATCGCAACGTACTCAGGGCGCATTTTGATAAAAGTATGTCACCCTTGATTAAAAAAGCGCAGCGATGAGGTTGATTTTTTTATCGGCCCATTTTCCACAATAACTGCGCATTTACCATTGCGATTCTCGCCGCACATTTTGTTTGTAAAACCCGATGGAGGAAAATTGCTCTCGACGACGGAGGATTTTCGTGGAGGAGAATTTTTTTGCTCCGAGCTTTATAAAACTCGGAGGAGGAAAATTTGAGAAAAATCCCCTCTGCTGACGGTATTTTTGTTTTATAAAACTGGCCTCAGGTCGCTCTTCAGGTAAGATGAGCTTACTTTGTTAATACTCAGGCTGCCCCCTCAGGTGAGATGATTGTGCTCTCTAAATACTCGGCTGTCCTCCACAAGTGAAATGATTCTACTCTGTTAATATTCAGACTGCCTCCTTCAGGTGAAATGATTCTGCCCTGTTAATATTCAGACTGCCCCCTTCAATTGAGATGATTCTGCTCCGTTCATTCTCAGGCTGCCTCCTTCAGGTGAGGTGATTCTGCCCTGTTTATACTCAGTCTGCATCCTTCAGATGAGGTGGTTCTGCTCTGTCAATGCTCATGCTCCCCCTTCAAGTAATATGATTCTGCTCCGTTAATACTCAGGCTAACCCCCTCAGGTGAAATGATTCCGCTCTGCCAATTCTCAGGCCGCCCCTTCAAGTGATATAATTCTGCTCTGTTGATATTCAGACTGCCTCTCACGTAAGATCATCGTGTCCTACTAATGCTCAGGCTGACTCCTTCATATGGGATGATCCTGCTCTGCACGACAGATGCCTGCGGCTCGTCCGTTCGCTCTGGGTTGGGACGTTCAGAGGTGCCGTGCGCAAATAAACTACGACTGGCGTCTGTTTTCATAGCTACCGATCTGCGAGAGTTATCTGAATCGGATGTGCTGCGTAAAAAGAACACGTTAGGAGCATACGTCGCTAAGAGTGCAGACGCATGAACTGCTGGAGAGGTTGCAAGCCTTGATTCCTGTATTGCGCACCGGGAGCGTGCGGCTGTTGTGGGGATCTTAAACCTGACTCCCTAAGCCTGATTCTTTCAGCCTGATTCGCTCAGCCTAATTCCTCAACACGCGCTCGGGTGAGGTGTCAAATTGACCCCCCCCCCCCCCCGAGGGTTTTCGGGAATGGTTTCTGAACGGCGAGGCGCAGCCGCGCTAAATTTTGCATAGTTGTAGACAATTAGAAAGCGAATCTTTTGACATAAAATTGGATGCACCTTGTAAGGTCGCTGACCTACTCCAGGTCAAAGCCAGGCCATGGATTCAGCGAAGTCAACTTCTAGGGAATCGCTTGATCTGATAGAACAACCGGAGAGTTAGATGGAGCTATGCATCTCTGAGATA